AAGGATACAAATCGTTCTATAAAAAAAAAGCGAAGCCAGAGGACTCACCGTTCCGCCAAGGAATTTGGGTTCGCTAAAAAGTGCAAAAAAAAAACAAGTGATAAGAAAGCTCTTGCAAGGACCTGGAGAGAGTAAGGCTGTTAGAATACCACTTACTCGCACCAAAGGTCAATGAGATGTTGCGGAGATGCGTCGAGAGGCGAAGGTTGTAACTGAGGCGGTGGCCGAGGTGGAAGACGTTTCGGTGGAGGAGGCGGCGTTGGCTGGATTTTGTGTTGCGGCGATACACTCGCCGATATGGGTCGAGCAAATCCCACACCTGAAAGCTGTGGCTGAAGGGTTGGTGTGGTGAATTGTCCACTCGGTGTGCCATTACCGTTGTCACCTAGCTCACTCGGAAGGTCACTGCAACTATGCGCCGGGTGAAGAGGCGGCTCCGGAGGCAGCAGCTCTTTTAGCATTGACAGATCTGGCATGAGCACAGCGGGGTTAGGCGGAGGCGGTCGAGGAGGTACTAAATTACAGAAAAGATACAGCGTCCTTTACATAGAATCAAACAAAGACCTGGACCGCATCCACGTCATAGACTATCTCGAGAAAAGCAAAGCTCAACTTCAGGAGATTGGGAGGGAATTACGAGAAAGGAAAAGTGACACACCGGGAGGTAGAACTGTGGAATGAAAGACGTTATCTTTCTCCTTCTGTGCTGTCGATGAGATCGTCGCAGGTGCACTCTCATCTTCATCATCCCAAAGATTAATGAGAGCCTGATCCTCGTCAGAAAGGATGCTGACAATGCGCTGACGACGCACCTCATCTGCAGCAACATTCTCCCTGCGACGCAAATGAGCCAAACTGACAGTGGGCTGGAAAACTGCATGCTCAGGACTGGGTCCATGGGTGCGTAGATATTCCTCATCCGCCTCGTTCACCAGCTGTCGCATCTCCTCCAACCACTCACGAGTTGGTTCGTCCAGAACGCGTGACTCACTCAACACATCCTCAAGGCTGCGAGAGGCTTTGCCACCATCTGCTACTGGGAGACGCGGCGTTGAGTTGAGACAGACTGAGAGGACAACCTGTTGCCTTGCCGTCTCCACTGACACCTTGTTACCATTCAAACACCGGACAGCTTCTACCGCCTCACTTAGGAGGTGAGAATTGAAAAAGTGAAAAATAACAATAGTTAGGAAAGGAAATAGGTACAATGCTCAGTCTAAAGTAAACGAGAGCTAGAGAATGGCTTACTAGGGAGAGGAGAAAGTCAGAAGGAGTTGATTGTTGCATTGAGGACGTGTAAGAATTATGGTGCCCGCAGAACCAGCCAACTCAACAATGGCTTGAAGAATGTCGTCAGCTGTGACTCTACTATCTTTGCATGACCAAGTAACACGAACTGTCGCATCACCGGGTCCAGCAGCTAGAAGCTCCTCTTCAATCACTTGACGACGTTTCGTCGGTTCTACCTGTAAACATCACAATGTTTGAGGCGCCTTAACACAACCGTTGACGTGCATTTGACATCTCCTCAAAGTCAATATCCACAGCAAATATTTGCCTTTTAACTGTCAGACAGAAATGA